GCAAATCCTCACATTGGAGAATGCACAATAAATCAATGATGAAAGAATAGTTAAAAATCTATTTCCTGTCAATCAACTAACCCATCGATTGACTTTGAGACCTAAATCGCTTCATGGTTTAACGAGACAACGGCAAAAACATTTTCTAGTTTTAGCTTCTCAAATGTGAGGATTTGCTGCTTTTCTGTTTTATTTCATTAGAAATCAAATATCTTTGGGATAAACAAGACATTTGAAATGTGTTTTCTATCATTTTCTGACATGTTATAAACTAAACTATTCATAAAACTATCTAAAGTAACAGGTTTGAGTGTCATTGTACCTGGCTACCTCCGAGTGGTCAGCTGAGGACTTAGCTGGGCACCCAGCTCTGAGCGGAGCCCTGCGTGGTGGCCGGGCCGGCGCAGCCTTGGCCTCCAGGCAGTATGGGGTCAAAGTTGAAGTCGATGCCGTCTCCGTCCATGAGGTCACTGTTGATGATGTAGTCCACGTCGCAATCCAGGTTTTCGGTGAACATGTCCATGTCCAAGTCTGTGGGCAGTCGGTCGTGACCGGTCGGGAAGCAGGACGGAGCTCCGAACTGACTCATCCCCAGCAGGCTCATGCCGGGATTGGCTGAGCCGACGGGCCCTCCGTGATGAGAGCCCACCGCTGGCACCGCGGCATGATGGGCTTTGAGAGCCGAGAGCTGTGACGGGTCTTGAGACATACTTGAGAGGATCATCCCCAAACCCATCTGAGAGTGGTGCTGGTGTTGGTGTTGTTGTTGTGGCTGTAGTTGTTGTTGCTGCTGCTGCTGGTGAAGGTGACGCTGCTGCATATGAGCATGCAGCACCATGGGGGCCACTGTGTTGGGCTCCAGCCCTTTAGCCAACAGCAGCTGGTTGGGTTTGGACCTCACACCCACCACGGATGTGCCCATGCCCATCAGGCCCACCCCTCCAGGACTGGGCATGAGGGGATCCACCTGAGTCATCATGACATCACTGGGAGGAGGGGAGTCGGAGGTGAGCAGCGCCTCCAGGCTGGAAGGCACGTGGGTGTAATGGCCGCCCCCACGAGAGCCGGAGCTGGACATGGGGTTGAAGAGGGAGTTGCTGAAGGTTGACGGCTCTTTACTGTTCATTCCACACTGAGAGACAGAGGCCTGGGTCCCGGTGTGATTTGGGGCCTGCGGGAGGCTGGATGGTTGCAACTGATGGAAGGAGGAGAAGCTGGAGCCCCGGGGCAGCAGGGTGGAGGCGGAGGGCAGCGGAGTGGGAGGTGCTGGTGGGGCTGTGCTGGGACTGGCCCCTCCCTGCTGCCCAGTCATCAATGTGAGGCCGTCGATCAGGTCCAGCTCCTCCATCAGGGTCTCGGTGAGGGTGGGGGTCAAGCTGCTGGCCGTGTATCTTCCCAGCATTCCATCCTCGGGCAGGTTGTCATCGTCCTCCTGTCCAGGAGCGATGGGGGACAGACGTCCGCTCAGGGTGCTGGCGTTGGAGCTGGTGCGCGGCCGGAAGGTGGTCCACATGTCGGCGTCATCCAAGCTGCCGCGGGACGACGGGCTGCTGTTGTTAACCCCCCATTTGGGGAACTGCTGGGACGAATTCGAGCTGTCTGCCCCGGCTGAACCTGTGCTGCCGTCGCCCTGCAGCGCCCCTCCAGCGCCCCCCAGGCCGGCTGCTCCCGCCTGCTTCTTAGTCTGCTTGGCCCTCATGCGGCTCTTCAGCAGTTTGCTGCTGTTGTCCATGGAGGCGGCCCGGCGGCGAGGAGCCTTCCCGGTCTTCCCTCCTTCTGGGTTGAGCATCCACCAGGAGCTCTTGCCTGTCGATTCATTGTGGACCCTCAAGAACTTGTTGTGGAGTGATAAATTGTGGCGGATTGAATTCTGAAAACGGACAGAGAATTTCTTTTGTTTAAATTGCAGATTAATCACTACAAGTAGCCTAAACATGCTTTGGCACTGCTAAAGTTCAAATGATCCTTCTGAAACTAAAGCATGATACGCCTGTAAATGATTTTATTTTATTTTTGAGTATTAATCTTCTTAAAAACAGGCCATGACAGTGAGTGGCAAGGTGGTTATGATGGTTACAAGCCAAAAAAGGTTGCGAACCACTGACTAAAAGTATTTACTAAGTCAGACTTATTCCAGGTCAGTTCAGATCTCTTGCCCCTTGATGTCCTAGCCTGGCTGCAAAAGTATGTATTTTTGTGCAGTAAGGCCGCAAAACATAACTACGTAATTAAAACAACAAAAAACAATGAGACAATTGAAGAAACTGAAAGATTGTTGGTCGAGAAAATAAGTGAAAACAGTCAGGCGGCTCATCATCATGCAGCAAATATGAAGAACCAAAAAAATGTTAAGAACAAATAATGTAGTATTTTTATTTTTGATATTGGGATAAGTATATGTTATGATAACCTATGATATGTTCCTCTAGTTGCTGTACTCTTTTTCATATTGCCCAACATCACTCACCTTCCAGCCCGCTGAGCTGTTGCTGTCTCCTTTGTCTCTGAAGTAAGGCACTGTTTTCACCATCCACTCGTAGATCTGTGCCAGGGTTAACCTCTTCTCAGGTGAGTTATCGATGGCCTGGCTAATCAGATCTGCGTAGCTCTGGTTCCCCCACGCGTTGCGCCGGGACGATCCTTTGCGGGGCGTCGCTCCGCCCCCGCCGGCCGCGACCCCTCCCTCGGCGCCCGCCGCAGCCTTCTCGGGCTCGGAAGTGATTTGCTGTGGCTCGGGCTTGTCCTCGTCCGCGGGTGGGGTCCCGGCGACGGACTCGGAGCCGTCCGCCCCCTCCGGTTTGACAGCCGAGATGTCGGGCCTCGGCAGCGGCCACGTGCAGGAGCGGGGTCTGCTCTGCGGCTCGAAATCTGGGTCAATGGGGGGCACCGAGGACTCCTCCATGGCGGTCCTCTGAACTTCCACTCAACCCAAAAAAAAAAGATGATAGCACTTAACACATCTACCTCTCAAAGTAAAAGAGTGGAAGATGAGTTAAAAAAAACTTCCCTGACACAAGAACAATATGCTTGAGCCACTGCGGGGGTGTAAACAGAGGGGCCGGTTGAAGAGGCGTAATCTGGACACACCAATAGCCTCCGTTAATCCTCAGATTGGAGATTAGGGAACCCAAATAATCTCCTTAATAGTAACTATCATAAACCTTCCGATTTATATAGAATGAAGGATGGCTGGGATGAGAGTCCCTTTGTTTGAATGAAACAAAAACAAAAGTGTCAGAGTGGCAATGAGCACCAAAACATCTGGATCTACAGAGGTTTTTGGGCTCACCTGAAATTGAAAAGGCCTACCTAAATTTTAAAGGTATACAGATACAAAATAATGACATCAGTCAATAAACACTCGATTTAAATATCTGAAAATTGTAAATAAAATAAAAAGTATAGTTTAAACCTCTCATAAAATAAACCTTTAGGAATAAATCAAAATTAAGGATAAATTCGTAAAAAATTTTTTTAAATTGCATGTATATGTCCTTATACATACATTTGTTTTTACTGTAAGGCTATGAGGACTACAAACAGGGATTATCTGGCTACTGTTACAAAGGATCTTCTGAGCACCAGTCCGTCTCCACTTGTAAACAACGTGATGTCTGAGCGCTCCACGAGCCAACAATCCTACACACACACCTACAAAAAATAAATTTAAAAACTCTCACAAAAAAACTGTCCGGTTAAAAGTTAAGTGAAGTGTAAAAACACATGACGAATGATTATTCCGGCAAAGGAATTAAAAAAAAAAAAAAAGTGTTTAAAAAGTGTCCGTCGTCTTTTTGGCCTTAAATTAAAGCCGCTGTGACTAAACAACCAGAGAAATGCGCGAGCGTTGGGTGAAGAAATCACGAGCGGTTTTAAGAAATGATCAAAGGTGTTTCTTTAAATCAATAAAAGTGGGAAGATGGGAGAAACGTGCGCACGAGAAGTCCTTGCTTCAGGTTTGCACGATCCGCCACATTGCGGCCAGGCGCATGTCACCATCTGCCATGTTTCTCCACTCTTGCCGCGGCACACGATGCTCGAAGACTCGGTTATTATTATTAAAACCCTCTCGACCGAGGCCCGGAGCTCAGATCTTCTTCGGTGAACCGACTACGAAGTGAATCCCCGGGTGTTGGGTGAAGTTGGGTCGCCTCGGAGGTCTGTCGGCTCCCACCCGCCGCACTTTGAGAACTGCACGATAGCCACCGTAACGTTAGCTGGGTTAAGCTCCTGCTACTCCAGAGTTCACAATCCGTGGAAAAGTCCGTGAAAAGCCTCCGAGAACTTCCTCCAAGTAGCCGTTTCTAAAACGATACGAGTCTCCACAAACTTACAGTAGTCGCGGCTGTCCAAATACTCAATTCTTCAGTACCTTTTTGACTTGTTTTGTTTTGACTCGAGGCGAAGACTCCCTTCTGACGTCTGTTTACCACTGTCAGGCAACGCGTTCTGCGCATGCGCCAAGTGGATTTCTGGGAAATTGAGTCATACACGTGACAGCACAGGCGTAAATAGTAGCTGAAGGAGGCAACATGTACTTGTAATGGTGCATTATGCAACAGTGCATGGACATGTGCTAAGTCCCGGGTACACTTCGGGCAGTTAAGTTATTACCGGTAGAGTACGGGTAGACAACTAGTAATAGACTACAACTAGTCTAAACTGCAGAACAACATATTTTAATCATGATAAAGAAAAAGAATGACTACGATAATAAAGTGTTCTTGGTATACTCATCCACTATCAATGTGAACAATTGTCGTTGGTCCTCTAAAGACCATTAAAACCGCCTAAAGCACCTTATTTACTGTCCTCTGTGTAGGTTATTTAGGAATGTGCATCATCTGAGCACAATATAAAGTAAAATAGAAACAGACTTTAACCTACAATGACTGTTAAACATTTTGACACACGACTCTAAAAGACAAAGCCACAAGATTGGTAAATAATGCAGTTGGTATTGTAGCTTGCTGTTGTAAATTCCTGTCTGAAAAATAGCAATTATTCAAACTATTTTTGAATAATTATTGTTTTTGGCATTTGCCTTTATTTGATGACAGTACAGAATTGAACTGGGGATGCTGGTATGTGTCTTGACTACAAGGCTATCAGATGGTTTTTCTTTGGCACTTTGTTTTTTAGACTCTTATCTCTTAAATGGGTGATAGCATAAAGCCTTTAATCAAGCATGTAACATGAGTACATTGTTTCTTTTTTGATGTGAATGTACATGTCTAAATTTCTTGTCACCCTTAATATCATGAAATGTTAAATGTGGTTTGTTCCACCATCAAGTAATGATACGTCAAATCAGTACGTTTGGCTTATACGAGCAGGTTATGTGTTAAATTACTAAAATGTTATTTCTGTACCTCCATCTGCCATCATTGGTTATCAGTAGCTGTCATTGTCAAATTTATTATTTGGGTGGCAACTGGTTCGTAGGATGCAATTTTTTCTCCTTACATCATTGATATAATTTAAACATTTAATGAAGATTGCGTTCCCAATACCCTGAGATTTACCCCTTTTTTAACTAAAAATTGAATCCACAGTATTTAAAAGTTTTCACTCTTGTAGTATTCAAAATGTATAGCCCGGGAGCATATACAAAAACCCAAAGACAAAGCAGAAACTATTTCAATCTAAATTGTGACATTTATGAAAAAACTAACTTCCTCTGTTGACTTTTTGTGTGTACTTTCTTCTGAAGCCTTATTTGTTTACATTTTTTTACAACCTTTCTCTTAGCTGAAAGAAGGAATCTCCTATGAAAGAATATTAAAAAATGCTTTACAATAAGTTAAGTAAATTGATGATTTTCCTGACAACTAAGCAAACTCGATCTGCTGATGAAGGCCATGGTTATAGACAAAAGCTAGCAAGTAACCTTTAGTTTTTGTACTATTTTTGAATAAATATTCATGCTTTGTATTGGGGCCTTTTATAGTGACGTTGATGATAAGACTCTAAGGGAAATGTTTTTTTATCAGTCTTCTTACCTTCTGAGTCTTTTTTTTTTCAAAGCATGACATAAGCAATTGGACTACAATCTTTGCACTACTGTTTAGTTAATTAATTTAACTTTGCACTACTGTTTATTTAATTAATTTAACTTTGCACTACTGTTTAGTTAATTAATTTAACTTTGCACTACTGTTTAGTTAATTAATTTAACTTTGCACTGCTGTTTAATTAGTTAATTTATATTTATTACTCTATTATTTTTATTGTATATATTGTGCATTTTTGTACTCAATATTTTTTATTTTTTACTCTGTTACTTACCTGATTGCTTACCTGTATCATAATGCTGATATAGCGAACAAATTTCCCCTTGCGGGATTAATAAGGAATCCATCTATCTATCTATCTGTCTGTCTGTCTATCTATCTGTGTGTCTGACTATCTATGAACTTCAACTCCCAGAAGTACTTGCGGTGGTTCTCTATGTTTACAACCAGCTGACATCCGGCATCTTCCCGTCCTTTAGCTACCGATATACCACAGTCAACGATATCCTAAACCCAAAGAAGCAGAAGTCAACGACAACCATCTGACACTCGATATTTTACTCATGAAAAGCGCTCCCCGCTGATTCGTCAACTCAACTGAATGCAAAATTTCATCAAAGTCGTCAGATGCAGGTGAGCGCGACAGGACTAAAAATTGCCGTTTGCACATCTAGTTAGCCAGCTATAGATAGCAGGATTAGCATAAGCTAACACAGCAGCTAATGCTAATGTTAGCAGAAGCCTTCTTATTCGCAGCCATCACTTTCGACATCTGTCAGGACGAAACTTGGTGCTAGTTGTTGTCCTCGGGTGAAATAAATGTACCCGCTGTTTCAATACTAACGTCAACACACAGCTAATTAGCAACGATTGTGGTAGTTGGCTAATGTTAGAGATATTAGCCCGCTAGTTTAACGTCTACTGGTAGACGTTAAGCTAACGTTACTAATCTCGTCGCTGACGTAGCCTGACAAGCTAAACTTGTTATTTTAATTAGCTAAACCATGGTGAGGTGAACCAGGCTATTCACTACTTACACGATTTATGCTAACTAATCAATCATGTGCTCGTTTGCCATTTGATGGACAATGTTATGACATTAACTGTAACGCTAGCGACACGTTAGCTCGGTGGATAATGGATTATGTGCAGTGCAGTTATGGTGCCAGGCGGTGGGAAGCGGCTTCACAGTGTTTGTGTTGTTTATTTCAGGGCTCTGGCCCCGTCTCCAGCAGCTGAAGCACACCAGCCCTGTCCACTCTGATCAACGTCCACGGCCTTCCTCCTTGCTGAGCCATGACCACTCAGAGGGATCTTGATATGGTGAGTGAGTGTCTTAACACCTTTATGAACACTATTTTTCCAACAGCAACACAAAGCCAAGGTGATAATCCGTGTTTGTTTGTGTTCTCTACTTTGTAGCCTGTCACACTTAAAGCTGCTGCATGATACACAGACATACTACATTTCATTATTATGATTATATCGGTACAGTAACGTTTCCTCAAAGTTAAAATGATTTAGAGTTTGGGGGTCGGGATAGGGAGGGGGTGTCATGGATTAGCCAACGTCCACAAACACTTAGCTGGGACAGTGACTGCTGTTCCTGTGAACACCATCTGTCTAATCTCAGTTAAAACGTTGCCCTACTTTCCTTTCAAGGTTTAGATGCCAATTGATTGTACCCTCTTACTAAATCCTGACCACAGCCCCCCACTATATGAATGGACGACAGTTATTTAGAAATGCTTTTTTGGGGGTTATTTTTTATTATGACACCTGGCCGCTTGCTTTCTCGCCTGCAATAATTCACTTTATATCGAGATTTCACAAAGAAAAGATGTATATGTAAAGCTGTAACCAGCTGAATTTTGTGTTTTGGTGATCCGCTTGTCAATTAGACAATCAGTTATTTTTATGCTAATGTGAGCAATAAGGAAACATTTATTGCTGGAAAAAATAGTCAAATAATCAGAAAATTAATCTGCAACAATTTTGAAAATCATTTTATTGTTTAAAATATATAAACCAAAAATTCCAAATGTGCTGGTTATGACTTCACAAAGTGTAGATCTCTGTTTCATTTAATTACAAACTCAACTGAAAATCTTTTAAGGTTTTGGGCTGTTGGCGAGAGAAAACAAGGCACACATTGTGACGTTTATTTTTAATTATATGCTGTCAGAACATTGTTTTAAAACATATTCAAACAAATGTTGTGAAATCTTCTATCTATGATACCTACATCAGGTAAAGACCCACAGCTAGGCAGAGTGGGATTTAATAGATCATCTCGTTGGCTTGTTATGTTTTTAGATAACTTGACCAAATCCAAGAATGGCTACGCCTTTAATAGCTCTATTGACCCTAAAAAACAATTCTTAGCAGCAGTGTTTGAAGAATTTAATGTCGTTCTTTGGATTGGAGAACCTCAAGAACATTTGTGATGCCGGATGTAGCGGGATGTTGCCATGGGTAATCAGGCAGATCTGACTTTGTTTTTATTTTGTTGGGGATGAAAGGGATGGGGACGGGAAAGGGGACAAAGCTCGTTAATGATGACATGGGTATGTAACTTCACATTGAGGTTATTGAGTTCAGAGGAGGGAGGGGAGGGACCATCGAGGGAGGATTGTATTTGTAAACAGATCAGAGGGGTTGTCCCTCCCTGTCCCCCCCTGACATCACATCTCATGGTTAAGTCTCTTTGTTCTCTCTTCTGTGATTTATTAACTCAAATCAAGATCATGTCCCTCCTTTTGAAGAAGGACAAATGTCGGGGAAAATTAATCCCGTCCGTCAACTCTGACTCTTGAGTAGAGGCGTCCCAGTAGAAAGCAGTTGATGGGATGTTGTTTTTTCTCCAAATTAATTTTTTGGAGTAGCGGCATAATTGATTAGAGATGATGGATTAATGGATTAATAAGGAAAAGGACTTGATGCAGCACAAATCAAACGACTTAAGGTCTAAAATGGATCAATAATTCAGGTCAGAGTGACGATAAAATCCTGGCCATGAGCTCACCACAAGATAGATACAGTATAGAATAAGTGGACAAGTTGATATAAATGTTAAATTATGACAGCAAATTCTTGGCTATTGTCTGCTTGACATCTATTAGAAGGAGATGGAGGGAAACCACAGTTTATTTGAATTAATCAAATCTAAGTTTAAAAAAATCCTCGTATATCACCCTACTGCACTCTTCTTTACCTCCGTCTTTCATAGCAGTCTCTTCACCTCTTTCAACCCTCTAATGTTTCTCTCTCCATCTCTCTTCCTGTCATTCTTTATCAACCTCCAGCCACTCACACTTTTGTTTTGTTCTATATCCCTCATCCTTAATATTCCTCCCTCTCATTTAATTCTTCCTTTTCACTTCTGAGAGTCTCCGGTTGTGCTTGGTCTCATCTTCGCTCCATCCATCCTTTGCTCCCTGTCTTACCTCATATCTGGTAATAATACTAGTTGATACAGTGTACATACAGTATGGACGTGATGCCCATTTTTAGACATTTTGACCCGATGAAGGTCCAACATGTTTATTTAAATACATTTGTGGTTTGGAGTCGGTGTGCGTACCTGAAATCAATGACCCACCTGGTGATGCTCCAGCAGCCACAGTGGGAGCTGTTTTACATATTTCAGAGGAACTTTGTCTTTAGCTTGAATAGGCTGAGGTCAGTTGATTGACTTGGTACAAATAACACTGTCGTTAATTTGTCTTAAAGCTGAAGATTATTGTCCTCATACATAAAGCTAAAAGTCTGTACTTCCACCTCACAGTCTTTCATTTCAATGCAAAGAAGCTAAACCAATTGTTGCCTTCTGCTGCTGTCATTAGTCATCATAATTACACATTAACTGTTTTTTTACTACAATATAGAGCTGCGACCAACATTTATTTTTGAATTCTCTAATTATTTGGACGATAAAGCCAATGTGACGTCTTCTTTATATTTATTTTTTCTCTGTTGTGAAAGCAGGTTCACATAAGACAAAGAAAAGCGGAAAATCATAATTAATCAATTAGTTGTGTCAGATCTACTACGACGTGTGTTGTAATTTTTACATGTTTCTGTGCCTTGCATGCAGAAGAAGTGTGTGATATTTAAAAAAATCTTGTACCAGGACAAGTGTGCAGTGTGAATTTCCTGATGTGAGTGTAATATTTAGGCCTTCAAGGCATATTAGTTTGGTTTTTTTTTTGTAGTTGCCCTGAGGATGAAATGTGGAGGAAGCCCCACTGTTAAAGACCCTCCCACACATATGCACAGTCCCCCCTTGGGGCTACGTACTGGCCATGTAAATTTAATAACATGGCCCAGAGCTGTCTGGGACACCTGGGGTTATCGCATTAGCCCGACAGCCTGGAGAGGAGCTCGCAGCACCCGGGAACTAAAGGGCCAGTGTTCCCCCATCAGCCCCACCCTTATCTGTTGTCGTCTCTGGCAACAGGGGCTCACTTCAGTGTAAGCCCTTGGTGGATGAAGTCGTCCAGTCAAAGGGTGGAGATCTGGTGTGGATAAATCTAATTAGGCTGGAATGCCCGTCTCTTCACAGCCTTCTGAAGCTCACCTCATGACTGAGGAGGTTAGAGGAAGTGGAGGGATTCCACCACGACTAATTAAGAAGAACTTTAATGGACGTTTGGTGTTTTTTTTTGTCGGCTAATACAACATTTCTATGGATTAAGCTGGTTTTTGTTTTTGTTTTAGGTGCACCTCCGCCTTATCCTGGTCAGTGGGAAGACGCAGGACTTCACTTTCTCCCCAAATGACTCGGCCACAGACATCGCCAAGCATGTATTTGAGAACTGGCCTGCTGGTACGTTTTTAAATGATTCGGTTTGCATTATTTAGTGCGTTTAAGTTTCAGTGTATATATTTTACAGATTTTATTACTTTTCACTAAGCAGTCCTTCAGCTTCAGTCGCAGTTTTTGCTGAAACTTATTTATTGTCATTGTCTGCAAATAATTAATATTGTATATGATATTGATTAATAATAATTAACTGGTTAATTGTTCTATTTCCTTTTACTATGACCGTTTTCTTTGTGGCCTTCCACTACTGAATACCTGTAATGCAAACCTTGTTCACACTGTTCACATTAGAAGTGAACACAGGCTAACCACAGTTTAAAAGTTTTAAAGTGATCGGCTGGGTAATAACGGTATTATGGTGTAGACAGTGACCGTAAACAATAGAGCTAGATCAATAAATACACCAGCCGATACAGATATATTGGTATCAACGTACATATCGGCTGAAAAGTAACAAGAGTTTACAGCACAGAGATGACAAACTAGTTTTAAAATAATTTAGGTCAGAACTGTGTCACGATTACAGTTGATTTAAAGTTGATTTGGTAAACTGGAAAATATTCGCTCAGGATCTTGGTCAAAATTTTGAAACCAAACAAATGGAAATGATCTGTTTCGAGACTATTTATGTCATGTGTTTATAACAGTGTTGGTCAGTAGCGACACTGCAAGTAGCGCTGTTACTACTCTTTTATTGGTCAAGTATTAAGGTAGCATCCACACACTCTGCATTTCTGAAGCTCAAGTGCAGCAGAGCTCTCTGCTGCGGTCTGAAATAGAACCGCTAAGGACCAGTAAGTGACGCCACCGCCGCTCGTATGTGTAGCCAACAGAAGCACTTCCGTATGACATCGCGTACCGATCCTTGATGCCTACGACGTCTCCGCTGCGGGGAAGACAGTCTTGTGTTTACTTGATGAAAAGGTGGCAGAGGGTGAGGACAGAGAAGAATCGATCCTGAGGGAGTCGCCCTGGCTGTAGGCCACAAATATACACTGTTTAAGTATTATTTAATGGTAGTAAGATGCACGGATGTTAGAATTAAGTGTGCAAAGTTGAATACACATTATAATTGATAAATATAGTATTCAAATATTATAGTTTACAGCACATTAGGCCTTTGTATATTTATGTTTTGTATTGATAGCATTACTACTATAGTAGTAGTGCTGTAGTTGCTACGTTTGCCATGTAGCTGTAGCTTAGCTTGCTACATTTCTCTGGGGACTAGCTTCAGCGTAGTGAAGCGCTTCATTTAATGTAGAGTAACTGGTAGCTCAGCTCACTACACTTTCCAAGTAGTTTGCCCAAAATTGGTGCATGAAATGAGCCAAAAATACTGTTTTCAAATTTTACATATCAGTATCGGCCTTAAATATCCAGTATCGGTTGGGCTACAGTTAAGTGAAATACTTGTTTCTCTGCTTCTCGACAGGATGGGAGGAGGAGACTGTGAGCAGTCCCAGTATACTGCGCCTCATCTTCCAGGGACGCTTCCTTCATGGCAACGTTACCCTGGGAGGTAAGACCACCCTTTAACAAAGACACCTTCATCCGTAAAACCATATCAAACACATTCGTTTTCCATCATATAATTGTCATTTTCATCGCCACTTTCAGCATATTGTTAAATGTAGCGAAGAATAATACATCATGAGGTTTATTTCTTTGTTTAAAGCTCTGAAGCTGCCACCGGGCCGAACAACTGTCATGCACTTGGTTGCCAGAGAGACTCTTCCAGAGCCCAACTCTCACGGTGAGGATCTTCTCTTTGTCTGCTAATCATCAGTATCATTTCATTATCGTACAGGACGAGGTACTGTGTGAGATTTAGTTAGCTCCAGGCCTGCATATGTACAGAGAAAAGGGCCGAACATCAATTCAAAATATCAGAGTAGTTAAGCTGACTTTGGACACTGTTATATTTCTACGGCAACAATTCAAGCAAACATGAGGTCAAATAGCTGCCGGTAGCATTAGCATTCCTGACAAGATTTACACCTCTTCAGTGGTAGCAGATGCTACACATGAGCCCACTGATAACGTCTGTATTCAGAGATGAACAAGATAACTAGGACTGACGAGCAGTGAGCTGTGTACTGCGCGTCGTTCCCTCGCTCCTGTGTTGCGTTCTTGTTAAATATGCCGAGAGAGAAGGTTCTAGAAGGATTCAAGGGTGTAGTTACCCTTTAACTGCAAAGTGTCTGCTCAGGCGGAGCGCGGAAGTTGAACGGTTGCTTTTTGTTTGACATTTCTTTCACATACATTGTGCAGTGGGCGTTTGCTTCTACTGCAGTTAACCTCAACCTCATCCCACGCTACATGTCTGTAGAGAGATATGTGCTTTTTATCTTTTTTTAATCTGACCTCTTGTCTCTGCTGTCTCTTGTCTCTGTAGGTCAAAGGAACAGAGAAAAGACCACAGAGAGCAACTGCTGTCTCCTCTTGTAAAGCAACAGAAGACCCTCAACCACACACACACACACACACACACACACAGACAGACATAACACACACATATATACATGCATACACCGTGTCTCTTCTGCCTGTCATCCTGTCAGCTGTGGATTTAGAATAAATCAGAAGAAGTCTGGTTGGACCGTCGCCAGCTTTTGGTTGAACGCTTGTCCAATCTGAGGCTTTTTTTTGTGCCAATATATTCACTTTTTTCGCCCCCAAAAATGTTACCGTGTCGGCCGAATTTGCCGTTGTAGTTCCTTTTTATTTAAAGATCATGACATTAAACTTACCTTACGCTCCCTGTTTGCTGCTGGACAAGTTTCACAGAGCTGTCGTACGTAGTGGAGGAGACCACAGAAGTGGTTGCTCATCGTGGACACAGTTGCTATAAAGGATGTGTTGGCTATTACCTTTCCCTACTAGTCACATGGATGTTTCCCCAAGTCTTACTGAATGGTGTTAACCCCTCTCTTTGCACTTAACCAGTTTGTTAATTCAGAAATGTTTATTGTGTTTCATCGCCATCATCTTTTCTCCCCCAATGGCTTTTTTTTTTTTTTTTTTTTAAATTTTGGTCAGAGGAACAGACCTTAATTCCCCACGTGGTAGAAAATGTGCCATCCTCCTCCTCACGAGACTGTTTCTCACTAACTGAACCGGTCGGTCTGTATCAGCACCAGTGGCGTTTCCTCCATTACCATACACCTGTTTAGTTCCTGGAAATGGACCAATGGTGAAAAGACTTTTATAATGTGGAGTAAACACCCGAGGGGACGTTCAGGTCCATGAGAAACGCCTTGTAGAAGATGGAGTCGGGAGGATTCGGTGGGTTGCTTGTGTGCCATCGGGTGTCATTTTCGCACCTCTGGCTTTGACTTTATTGACGAGGATGTCGGCGCTCTCGCGACACGGCGGGCCAGTTAAACGCAGACAAAGGAAGCGGTTGAAGATGGGAGGGAGGAGTGTCAGTGTGAGGAACCCCCCCACTGGACACTGAGAACAGGGGGAGAGTTTCTGCCACTTGGATGAAGAGTCGTAAGGAAAATCTTTTGGTGTTGTTTCACCTCCTTTTCATTTGGATGCCGTCTTTACTTCATGTTTGCCTTTTATCGTGGAATTCAGTAATATCATTAATATTGAAATTTAAATATATCAATTTTTATCTTGTGTAAAGGTATTTGTTCAATTTTAGTGTGGGTGAGTGTGTATGAGTGTGTGTGATGCACGTGGCATACTGTATGAGGACTGGTTGAGGGCATGTGGTCTTTAAAAAAAATAAAAGTGATGCACTGGGAGTGTTGATGGGCTGCGGTTTCTTCAGAAACAGTCGGAAACCTTTTGATTCCTTCCATTGAGTGTCCTTTGGTTTGTGTTTTAGTCAATCAATGTCACTGCTATGAAGTTTAGCCCAGTATGATTAAATGTAAAAAAACTAAAATGCAATGTGGTCTACATAAAAGCTTGTATTATAAATTAATAAATCTTTAAATAAGGCAACTTCTCTTGGTCCTTTTTTACTGTTTCTAAAATGGCAACTAAATGACGAGCTGTGGCTACGATTACTTTCATTATTTAATGATTTATTTTTTACAGGTGGTCGTGTGTTTGTGTGTGTGTGAGAGAGAGAGGGGGGGGGGGGATCATTACACTCTCACTGGTCAAGCTTTAATAAGAAATCAGGAGGAATTGAATACCCTTTCCAGTGTACATGTAGCTTCATTTATCTTCCTCTAGGTGGCGGTGTTTCTCTTTGAGCCTGATGTTGGGGTCTGATGGAGTAGATGGGAGAATATACCTTTTGGTTTTGGCTGAACCTGATGCACTGATTCAAGTTAAAGTAGGACAATGAGTAAATCATTTGTTGACTTCTGTTTCAACATTGGACTCAAGTTGAGTCTTCATGAACCTGACGAACAACTTAAAACGCTGTACGAGCGGAAAGAACTCAAAAAAAGAAATGTTTGTCGTCAGTTTAGTGACGCATGATGTGAAGTCGGAGCACTTCTGTAGTTCCAATTGTTTCATAACTTTCTGTTGAGCTGGTTTTCAGCAGTTTTCCTCCCGTCTGCCTCAGGAATCTGCTCCTGACATGTAGCTGCAAGAAGTCCAGGTTTCCAGTTGACACTGGCAATGTAGCTCAGGAAAAGTCAACCAACATCTTTCCCAACATGCTGCTCTTCCAAAACCTGCTATTGTGTTGAAGCGACTTGTCGTTCTACGCGTCTTCACTTTTTCCGCTTGCTCTTATCTGAACTGCTTTTTGTTATCCGTGTTTACTGGATGGTCTAAACGGGAGCATCCAGAAGTGATGAGTAGTGTTTAAATGAGAGTCCAGGGAGGCAGTCTGTTGCTCTATGCTACTTAAGTCCACCACATTGAGAGCTGCTGCAGGATGAATTGCTCTCTGCGGTCGACATGACTCAAAGCACGCGCACAGCCAGTTTTTTGGGTGTGTTGCGGTCGAACCAATACTCGGTCTATCCCCGCAGGATTGTCTGCACTCTCAGCTGCCTCCCTACAGTCCTGATATGGAGGGCTTAACTCCCACTTCGGCAGCAGTTTAGAGTTTAAGAATTAAAGTAGTGTTTTCACACACATGAGTTAAACAGTACTTTAGCTGTGCGTGTGTTGAAATCTACTCTAGTATGGTAGAAAGGTACTCTAATGAGGTCTGATCTGATTAAGGGATTATTTATTCAAGTTAAACAGGTTTTTACTTCCATAAATATTGTAAAAAACATTACATGTGTACTTCTTTTATTTAACATTTTACTTAAGAACTAAAGTATTTGCTGCAGAATATACTTAAGATACTTAGACGGCATCACTACTGCAAATTTCTATTCTAATTCTACAATAGTGATTTATTATCATTACTTTAGCAATAATGTTATTGGAATGTAACATGTTTAGCATGTATCTCAACCTGAGACTGGTTACAATAGCTTATAAATTAATAAAAAGATGTAATGAAGTCAAAGTATAAAATTGTATGATATTTTTCTTTCAGTAAATGTTCTGCTGTTTGGATGAATGGAACTTGATAGATGTATCATCTTTTAAATTTGTAACGGCTCTTCTGCTCTCTATTTACGGCTTCAGACTTGACTGACTATAGAAATGTAAGTGAATGCCTGAGTCAACGGGGTCATGATGTATGTTATTTTCTGTTATGGCTCTATTTGTCAGTTCCTCCTATATTAAAACCAGCTGTACACACACATACACACATACACACACACACACACGAAGGCAAGCACATACAGTAGAAGTAGAAAAGGCTCCTGACACCACTGACTCTTGACTTGATGTTTGACATTACAAGAATCTGACATTAAAACTAAAAACGGAACACGGTTATTAAAGGGAATGTGTAAACTCAATGTTCTTGATAAAGTGTGAATGTGCGGTCATGACTCGTGTGTATTATCATGTGTGCATTCCTTTGAGTCTATTTGTCCACACCAGAGGTCCTCTGATGGCACAAAATGAAAGAGTTCAGTAGGCCAGTGTGAAAACATACACACTCATGCAGGGGTTGAATTAACCCAGCAGGCTGTTAGCGAATGAGCAGCTTTCATGCTGACTCCAGAAGCTGCTGCTGTCTGTCTTCATCTCAGGACCTCCTTTCTGCTCCTAATTGGGGGAACGACACTTGTTTATGTGACTCTTTGCTTCCAGATGAAGGGATCATAACCAGGACGTGGACTTTTGACCAGGTGTGTGTAGAGGAAGAGGAGGAGGTGTTACAGCTTCACTGTTTCCATAACAAAGCTGTAACAGAAGGTCGGTTAACCTCCTTTTATTTGGCCGGTTTTTTTTTTCCCAGATGGCCTCTCAGTTCCTTTGTAATATGCCACTGTAAAAATCCACAGCTTTGACAACAATATCAGCTCTGTGCTTAAGAGACGGAGAGATGGAAAGAAACGTCCAGAGCCCATACACAAATATTTCTTAGTATAACTGACGAGCAGGCGGTGGGAAATCTAAGGTCAACAAAATGTTCTGATATCAGAGTTGTGTGTTTCTTTCTGTGAAGATATGGCCTCATGAAGAATGAATGTATTACCTCACCGCTGCAGTAACAGATTATTCCACCTTCCAGCAACATATCTGTAACCACAAGTCCAACAAAGTGACACTCAGAAAGACGTTTATTTTCTCAGGTGGTCAGGGTGGTGACCTCTGACCTCTGTACCATCTCATCTCGCACTAAGGCTGCGTTCCAAATCGTTTACATTTTCCTCCTTACTTTTAGTATGCGCTGCAGCTGCCATTGCAAAGTACGTACTGTGTCATGTGACCGCGATAGTCGATAGCGTCGCACCCATTCAAGATGCAGTCACAAAACCTTACAGATGTGTAGTTGTGATCAAAATGAAGTCCCAGTATAGGTACCCAGTAAGTATTGTGTTGATATTTTGCACAAAGTAATTACATTGTGATTTGGGGGCTATAATCTAAAATGTTGCAAAATAATAATAATGTATAACTATAATAAGTCAAAGCTCAACATGGGCCTAAGAGGTTAAACAGCTACATTGACTATATTGTATATTTCATTATTGGCCGTGTTTAGGCACATAGCTCACAGATGATGCATAAACATTCGCATATCTTTTCTTTTACTGTAACATTTCTTTGTGATTTCTTAGCTCAGGAAACTGTGTCCTCATTGTTTGGTTTGGGACAAGTGTTCACTCGAGGGCACTGGCTTCTGACCAGACCTCCTTCCTCTAGTTTCACTTAAAATGAAGAGCTCAGAAAGAACTAAGAAGGAAAACATACTAAAGTAATTACAGAACTGAGGTCAGAGCGTGGAACGAATGCTGTCCAGAAAATGTCGGGCTCACTACAAACGACTGATTACAGATTACCTGTTTTGTTGTTGATGTAACAACTTGGATCTGAAACCTGAATTCTGCTGATTATAGCGATCGTTATACTTTATGTAATCAGTGTTGTCCTGCTGCTCGTCCCCGGGTTGTTTCCCCTCTTATGTTGATTAATGTAACTCTACCATCATTTTCATTTTGCCAATCATGAACATTGATCATTAACCGACTCTGTTTGCTTTCGTCTTTAATTGCACGTGATCCGTCCTTTTCTTTTCCTCCTTGTTTACCATCAGGATGAAGGTTTTCAATTTACGTTCAGGTGTCTCTGATTTCTTCTGATTTCACGCTCCGACACCCGCTCTGATCGCTCTCCAGACATCATTAAAGTGAGAACATTTCCTGATCTCCTGATGTAGTCGTTGAATTACTTCACGTGTTCACATTGTGTGTGATTATTGCTCAGTGACACCAGATGCTGACCCAGGGCTATGTGCTGTACTGTATGTCTGAGAAGAATGTAGACGTGTTTTCTCCCTTCAGATTCCTCAGTTTCAACATGGGAGACAGCGTTCTACTCTCTGAAAAACACAATGAGGCAAACAGAGCGACAAATTCTGCCATTTTATTACATTGTGGCGTCACTGAGCATCATTCGAAACCGCTGACATTGTGTCATTAAGTGTCTTCGAGTGTTGAAATACCTCTTCTCCCCCACACTGCAAGCCTTCAAGTGTTAGAAGCGGTTTCTACGGTGTCTGCAAATACAACTGCTCCTTTTTTATATTTATGGGTGCCGTTTATTGGACTTGTTGCTGTGTGTATGTTGTTCATTAAGACATCAAAATGCTTTACAGTTCATTGCTCTTTTACACTGCCTGCTGGAGCCGGAGCTGTAATTCCAGTTAGTGAGGGATCAGATGGAGGTCACTGCTGGCCTGTGGGGGTTGCAGCGCACCACAAGTCCACCGAGCCTCTGCGGACTACATTACAGCTTTTATCCTCACTAATGGGATCTCTTGGCGGGGAATCCCAAGGGTGATGGGGATTAAGATACCTGGCCTCGCTCCCACGCGCCATTTACCATGTGGGGCGCAGCAAATATGTTGCACATGCTGCTGCTGCTGCCACCTTTAAATCTCTTGTTGCATAGAGAAACCATGGAAATCAGAGTTTGGAGGTTGATAAATGTGTGTTCACACCCAGATTGTCAGAGACCTGTCTTTTTATTCTCCCTCTCCATGCACAGTTGGAGCATTTCTGCCTCTACACGCCTCTGACCCAGTTGAATCTAACACCGTTTGCAACCCAATGAGTGAGTATCGGATGATGGCGAGCTGGGAATCGCTCAGGCGCAGAGACAAAGCTGCAATGTTAGCTTTCTACCCTGCTCCACTTGAATAACATTGTTGGATACGTTTTGGAGTTTCCCGGCGTTACAGCCAAAGTTAGAGAAAGACGACGGGGCGAGAGAAACCCTAACTTTCGAGGATGAATGAAGAAATGAGGGTGGGATAAGTCCCACGTCTCTTTGTGAAGGCCTCACAAAGAGAGGAGTGAAGGAGGGGCTGGCTGAGAAAATCAATCTATTTATCAATATTACTGATAAGAGTCTTCTGAGCTTGTCTCTGTGCTCTCGTCTCTCTTTCAAACCTTCAC